TATCTACCATGTCCTATCCAGGGCTGGCTAGAGAGAGGGTCAGGACCTGTGAGTTTTTCCCAGCATGTTATTTTGATCTAGATATTTAGGTTTTGAATTACCTGGTCTCCCCACTCCCTGACCCCACCCCAGACTGTAATAAAGGGTGAACTGTAAACATCAATGCCTGCTCTTGCCCACCTGGCTCTGAGGAAAGGCCCAGGAAGCATTTCTAGCCAAGCCTTTCTAAAGAAAGGTTTAATAACTCAGCCATAAATACTTGTCATCGGCAGAAACGTAGCCGGGAGGGCTGCAGTCCTGGAGTAAATTATTCATTTATATCTCTAACTGACGTGCTTTAAATTGTTGTAACTGTATTTATCTTTTCTGATGGGTGGGAAAATAATGGCTTTATGGTTCATGACACTTTTGTCCTCCCATGAATCAACATAGCATGGGGATGAAAGTTGGGAAAAAAAAAAAATCAGCCAAAAAGTGGCTGCCTGAGACGAGACAGTAATTCTTCTTTCTTTAAGAGAGGGGCTTGAGGGCTGACATTACTCAAGCTAGGATCTAGTAGCAGAATTTAGGCAAAAGTGAGCATTAGGAACTATTGACTGACTCCCTAAAGCTTCCACCACCATTTTCCCTTTTGTTTCTGGTTTTAGTCACATAGGGCCCAGCAAGTTGTGTGGTTACACCAGCCCCGTCCAAGTATGGTTCGCATTAATGCAGCCGAGGAGCGGGAGGCACAGAAGAGGTAAAAGGTCGGATTACCCATGGACTGCCCTGGCAGGCCAGTGGTGAAGGCTCCATGCTTCCAGTGCAGGGGGCACAGGTTTAATCCCTGCCTGGGGAGCTAAGATCTCACATGCTGCACTGCCTGGCCAAGAAATTTTTAAAAAAGAAAGAAATATTTTTTTAAAGTAGGATTGGTTTTAGGCTGAGATATCTGGATTGTCATGCCTCTGGAGTGTGATTGAATCTCTACCACACTCTCATGCTTTTTGTTTTTACCCACCATTTCATCTCTAATGCCAAGTACACACTGAGCCTTAAAATGTGTGTTAAAAAATGAGTAAGATGGATCTGAGTGCAACATTTACTAGAAGAGGTTAAAAAGAGCCAACATACTTCACATGAAAGAATGTGAAGAATCTGAAATTTGGATTTTGGGTTTTATAAGTGAACAGTGTGAAACAAATCACCATACTTTTCAGTGGTTTCTACTTAATTATCGTAATGTAGAGCTTAACAAAGAAAGCCATTATGATTCTTAAGGGTTCTGAGTACAGTTCTGCAGAGAAACTCTCTATGTCCTGCACTTTAAATATAGCCATTAAAAACTGGCAGAGTATTCTGTTTTAAGCAGGCAGACCTCTAAGTTTTTCTACTGGTTTTTTTTTTTCTTCTGATTATTATCATTTAGTACATTTGGAAAATAGCAAGAAGCCTAAAGAAATAATTGCTTTTAATTCTATTCCCTGAAGCTCGTCACTTTAAAATTTTGGCATACTGTTGCCTGGCAGGGTTTTTTTCTCATAAGTTCTATCCTCGATTGAGATATCTTAGCATGTGCATTTGTGAATTCTGGCTTTGAAATTTTACTTAACTTTCTACCTAGAGTCAACAGTTTTCCATTTCATTGAAATTCTTTACACTCATCATTCTAACGTCCAGGCCCCGATTCTCAAAGAGGTGGCCCCAAACCAGCATCACACAAGACCTGCAAATTCTGGGGCCCGCCCAGACCTGTGTGGTCAGTTGCTTAGTCCTGTCCGACTCTTTGTGACCCCATAGACAGTAGCCCACCAGGCTCTTCTGCCACCAGGTTCTTCTCTCCGTGGAATTTTCCAGGCAAGAATACTGTAGTGGGTTGCCTTTTCCTTCTCCAGGGGATCTTCCCGACCCAGGGATTGAACTGTAGTCGCCTGTGTCTCCTGCACTGATGGGAGGATTCTTTACCACTCGCACCACCTGGGAAGCCCTCCTTGGCCTGTTGAGCCAAAAACTCCGAGGGGACCGCTCAGCTATCTGCAGTTTAACAAGACCCCTAGTGAGGCTAGTTACATTTGAGACCCTCCGATGTGTAGTCTTGCTTTAATCTGCTTTTGGAAAATAAGGATTTTTTTTTTTTTTGCTGTTATAAATGTTTCACAAAACTCTATGTTCACATTTCTGAACATTTCTGTAGAGAAAAAATTAATCAAATGTGCAAGCAGCTCATGAAAGGATCGATGTACAGAGAATGCTTTCTTCCTAGAGGCTGATCGCAGTAGATTTCGCTCCCTAAATTGAACTTGAGGTCTCCATCTTGCCACTGGCTTCCTTTCATGCAAATTTAAGTGCTCTGGTTAATAAGTTATCCATATCCTTCTCATTGTCTTACTTAGTTTTCTCTTAATAGCAAGGGTATGTTAAAGATGCTAACTGATTGTTTTGTTTTTGTATGTTGTCTGTGATAACTTTGACCTCCAGACACTTTTGATTTTGACCCAGTTGATCCTATGTATTTGCTTATTTGTATAAACTGGAAAGTCATTTCTCATTTCAGCGATTAAATAATTTATTTTTCTCATGTTTACATTTAAACATTTAGATCTCTGTAGTCCACCCAGATTGGTTTTCTTTTCTTTCTTTTTTTTTTTTTACTGTAATTAAGATCTAAATAATATTTCAAGAAGTAGGTAAATTATTTTACCAGAGTACTGTCAATGAATTTTTTGATCATAACTTTCATTTTTTTCTTTCACAATTGTTCATTTGACTTAACCTTAGCATCAACTATATTCAAATTATGTCAGCATAGCAATTGTGGTCCTTTTATAAGCCTGTGTTATAATGCAGAATAACTTCAGATATTTTGTTTACTTTTTAAAATGTGCCAAGAACCGAAAAATGTTAATTTCTTATTTGATTGGGAGAAAATTCCCTTGTTCCTTTTGCAGTGGTGATTCAATGTATTTTTGTTCTGAATAAATTTCACTTTCCTTCTCCCCATCATATCTGAACAAAGCCCCATCTTAGATGCTACATACGAGGTCTTTAAAGTGTTCATTTATTTTTCTACCTTTATTCACCTTATAGGTTAAACAAATTTAAAAAGTAAAAATAATGTTTATTATGTGGTTTAGTCTCTCTTTGCAGTAAACCTTACCAAAGAATGAGTGGAGTATACTTTGAGCTCTTATCATGAAAAAAAATCTCAGCTAAATAGTGAGTCAGGAAGGAAGAAATCATCTGAGTGAGAGATTGGGAAGACTGCTGTGAAAAGCATGGTTTTCAGGTTGCCATGGGATTCCAGACAGCCTGGGAATCAGGAAATTAAAGCTCAGTTTCAAGAGGACAGGCAGTTGTGCTGGTCTCTGCCATAGCTGCCCGTTTTCTGCAGGAGGGGGGCCTGGAAAATTTGCCACCTGAAGAGAGATGGCAGTAAAGACAGCACCTCGGTTTCCATTCAGTCCTGCTTCCGTCATGTCTTCTGAAAGGAGCTCTGTGGGTGGCTGTGGGTGGTGAGGTGCTGTGGGCAGGAGGACATCTGAAAAATGAGACGGTCTCTGATCTCACGGGATCTCGGTCCAGAGGGGAGCAAATATTGCTCATTTGAATATGCCTCATTAGACTCTTATCCCAACTCTGTGATGTAATTAGGAGTGTTGGCATCACTTGACAGTTGGAGGAAGGCTGGCAGAGAAGATTAGGAATTTGCTGGATGTCAAATAGCTAAATAGTGAAAGAATCAGTGTGGGAATTTCAGATTTTCCCCGGATCGCTGGTCTGTCCAGTTAATACCTGAGTTGGAAAAGTAACATACTTCTCTTGATTATTTTTATCCTAAACTCTCATGAACTAGACAGTATTTCTTTTGTTGTTGTTGTTGTTGTTGAATGTCTTATGTGTTTCATGCTCTTGTAATTACTGAATTATTTTAAAAAGATTACTCTTTCTCCTCAAATAAAGAACAGATACTTTAATGATTAGAGATTTGTATTCTGTGTCTGTGATCTCTAAGCCTTGTTAATTCTTTTTTGTTTTTTCCATTTATTTTTATTTGTTGGAGGCTAATTACTTTACAATATTGTAGTGATTTTGCCATACATTGACATGAATCAGCCATGGATTTACATGTGTTCCCCATCCCGATCCCCCTCCCACCTCCCTTCCTATCCCATCCCTCTGGGTCTTCCCAGTGCACCAGCCCCGAGCACTTGTCTCATGCATCCAACCTGGGCTGGTGATCTGTTTCACCCTTGATACTATACCTATTTCAATGCTATTCTCTCAGAACATCCCACCCTCGCCTTCTCCCACAGAGTCTAAAAGTCTGTTCTGTACATCCGTCTAGACAGTATTTCTTAAGCAAAATTCCACTTACAGATATCAAAGTTACATACTGTTGTGATGTATTATCAGAACTAAGGAGTAATCTTCATTTTTTAAAAAAAGATTTTTTTTTTAATGTGAACCATTTATAATGTCTTTATTGAATCTGTAACAATATTGCTTCTGTTTTATATCTTGGGTTTTTGGCTGTAAAGCATGTAGAATCTTAGTTCACTGACTAGGCATTGAACCAGCATCCCTTGTAGTGGAAGGCAAAGTCTTAATCATTAAATCACCAGGGAAGTTCCAGCAGTAATCTTCATTTACATACTAGTTTCATAGTTTTTTTTTCCTACTAACGATTTTGTGTTTCTGACTGGGAGTTCATTAGAATGAAGAGCACTACCTACCGTGAATAAATGCTTTCTATTCTTATTCTCCTTAAGGCGTCAAACCCAGTATTAGATCAAGGAAGTAAGGAAAATCTGTTGAGGAGTCAGAGATATTTAGGAGACTCTGAAAGAAGTCTTTTTCCCCTACTCATCCTATGTTTTTTAAGTTGGATTCTTTGTTTTATATACATTGTTATCCTGTGATGATTAACATACCCTTTTAAAATTTTCCCAACTTCCTCTCTATTCTAGCTTTAGCTGAATTCCTAATTCCTCCTATAATTTGTTTATTTTTTTTCCTCTTAGGTGAAACCAAGACCCCATACATCCCTTTTGTGGCTGGTGGGGCAGGTTTTCTGTTGCTGTTGGTTATCCTAATTACCACCATCACTGTCATTGCTTATAAGAGGTGAGTACTGCCGCTCCTCCTGAGTAATTCTGATGCTCGAGTTTCTCTATAAATGGCCCAGTAGCTGGCCGAGCTGTCTTAGGACTCAGGTACTGAGGCCACGTCCTTTGGATGCTGTTCTTAAAGGTACAGGAGGAGCCGGGGCTGGGGGGTGTTAGAGGAGAAGGCTAGAGCAGTTCATCTCAGAGTGAGGAGTGTGCCATCTGCCCGCTCATGCACGGGTCCAGCTGCCTGTCTGCAGCTGTGTCTGTCTTCTTCCTCCTGCAAACGCAAAAGGCTGGCAGGTGAGAGGGCAGGTGCGCGTGTGACAGAGGGGTCGGGGAGGGCTGGATTCTGAGGGCAGGACCAGGGCTGAGCTCTCATTACATGTGTGCTCAGTCCTGTCCAACTCTTTGCTATCCCAGGGGCTGTAGCCCGCCAGGTTCCTCTGTCTATGGGGTTCTCCAGGCAAGACTGGGGCAGGTTGCCATTTCCTCCTTCAGGGGATCTTCCTGACCCAGGGATCTATCCTGCATCTCTTGTGTCTCCAGCATTGGCAGGCAGGTTCTTTATCACTGTGCCACTTGGGAACCCCCAACACCTTCATTTATTCATTCATCAAATATTCTGACCATGGTGAATGAGATATAATGGCATGCACATTCTAATAAGCAAACAGTATGATTTTAAATGGTTATATAATGTCTGAAACAAGCGATAGAGGTGCCTTTATTACAGATTATTGAGAAGAAAGGAGTTGGGAGGGGCTACCCTAGAGAGAGCAGGGGGCCACCTGGCCTCTTCTAAAGTCTCCTACCTTTTATTGTCTGTGACACACTTGGGAATTTTCTAGGATGTTCTTGGTTGACCCTTCCCTCCTAGCTGCCCCACATTCATCGACTCACCAGTCTAGGCATTTGTTGCAATCTTATTTGTAGTCACATTGGGTTGGAATCATTCCTTATAACTCATGATTTTAACGAATGTGTTAATTTATTTGTTAAGTTATTTTTAATTGGATAATTGCTTTACCATGTTGTGCTGGTTTCTGCCATGAAACAACCTGAATCAGTTCCTTGTGTGTGTATTTAGTTCAGTTCAGTTGCTCAGTTGTGTCTGACTCTTTGCAACTCCATGGACTGCAGAATGCCCTCCCTGTCCATCACCAACTCCCGGAGCTTGCTCAAACTCATGTCCATCGAGTCGGTGATGCCATCCAACCATCTCATCCTCTATCGTCCCCTTCTCCTCCTGCCTTCAATCTTTCCCAGCATCAGGGTCTTTTCCAATGAGTCAGCTCTTTACATCAGGTGGCCAAAGTATTGGAGCTTCAGCCTCAGCCATCAGTCCTTCCAATGAACACTCACGACTGATCTCCTTTAGGATGGACTGGTTGGATCTCCTTGCAGTCCAAGGGACTCTCAAAAGCCTTCTCCAACACCACAGTTCAAAAGCATCAATTCTTCGGCACTCAGCTTTCTTTGTAGTCCAACTCTCACATCCATACATGACCACTGGAAAAACCATAGCTTTGATCAGACAGACCTTTGTTGGCAAAGTAATGTCTCTGCTTATTGATAAGCTGTCTAGGTTGGTCATAACTTTTCTTCCAAGGAGCAAGCGTCTTTTAATTTCATGGCTGCAGTCACCATCTGCACTGATTTTGGAGCCCCCAAAAATAAAGTCTGTAACTGTTTCCACCCCATCTATTTGCCATGAAGTGATGGGACCAGATGCCATGATCTTAGTTTTCTGAATGTTGAGCTTTAAGCCAACTTTTTCACTCTCCTCTTTCACTTTCATCAAGAGGCTCTTTAGTTCCTCTTTGCTTTCTGCCATAAGGGTGATGTCATCTGCATATTAGGTTATTGATATTTCTCCTGGCAATCTTGATTCCAGCTTGTGCTTCATCCAGCCCAGTGTTTCTCATGATGTACTCTGCATATAAGTTAAATAAGCAGGGTGACAATATAGTCTTGACATACCCTTTTCCTGATTTGGAACCAGTCTGTTGTTCCATGTACATTTCTAACTGTTGCTTCTTGACTGGCATACAGATTTCTCAGGAGGTGTGGGTCAGGTGGTCTGGTATTCCCATCACTTGAAGAATTTTCCATAGTTTGTTGTGATTCACACAGTCAAAGACTTTGGCATAGTCAGTAAAGTAGTAGATGTTTTTCTGGAACTCTCTTGTTTTTTCAATGATGATCCAGCGGATGTTGTCAGTGTATGTATATCCCCTCTCTTTCAGCTTCCCTCCCACTCCCCATCCCACCCCTTGTGTTAAAGTCTCAGGGAAAGAAGGAACCAAACTTTTGCTGTCCGCTTTTTGAAAGTCTGACACATTGCAGCCATTTATTATATGTTTGTTGAGTGAATGACTACATCCATCTCCATGCCTCTCCCCCAGTAATATTAATGTGCGCACACACACACACACACACACTCATGTGTGCTTATTGATAGGCTCTCCTGTAGGTTTCTCTGTCTTGTTGCCATGTCCCCAGCCTCCAGCTTTCCAAAGGCAACGCTCACGGCTCACCTGCCTTCTGATATCCCTCCAACTTGTTCGCCTGCTCCCCGGTGTCTCTCTCCTTCTAACTCATCTGATGTTTCCCGGTTCCTCTTCTAAAAGGTAGACTGGCCACCTTGTCTCCCTGTTTAAAGCCTGTTTACTGTGTTTCCACTGCCACCAGAATAAAGCTAAACTCATTGACCTGTGTCAAAGGGGCCCTTTGCTCAGCCTGATTAATCTAACCTCAGTCTAATATTCAGGGGCTTCCCTGGTGGCTCAGATGGTAAAGCGTCTGCCTACAACACGGGAGACCAGGGTTTGATCCCTGGGTCTGGAAGATCCCCTGGAAGAGGAAATGGCAATCCACTCTAGTATTCTTGCCTGCAAAGTCCCATGGATGGAGGAGCCTTGTAGCCTACAGTCCCTGGGGCCGCAAAGAGTTGGACACGCCTGAGCAACTTCACTTTCTTTCAATCTAATATTCATTTGTATTTTCTACTTTACTTACTCTCCTGATGTTGACCAGTTGTATTAAAATACAACTTTTATTCTGTGAACACACCCAACTCTTCCCCTCTGTGAGGCCACCGAAATGCTGGTTCCCCCAGGTTTAGCCTCAGTCCTGCGGATGTCCTCGGTGTGGGGAGCGTGTCCCCTCTGGGGCTGCCCTGCGTTCTGCCTCCTGCAAGCGGGCGTGAGGTCACCACCCAGAGTCCCATAGCCTCTCACCCTCCGCACCTCACAGCCTGCTTTCTAGTTTAACCATTTCCTCCTCGCTTGTCTTCTCTGCTATGCATAATGGCAGGGGTTGTGTTTTATTCATGTCTTTGTGCTTGATGGCCTTTAGTGCTAATCTTTCCAAACAGTGGATGGTCCACAAGCATGTGTCTAATTAAGTTGAAAACATGAAACCGCCGACATCCCTTTCTCTGCATCGCAGGCTGCCCTCCAGTCGATCCCGGGTCAGAAATGAGCAAATCAAGGTGAGGAGCCCAGGTCGTTAGCGTCAGAGAGGGTTTCTCCTGTTCCACCTTGGTTGATAAAAAATGCACCGAGGGCCGACGTGACAGCCGGAGCGCGTGGGAGCACGGACAGGCACAGCGGAGAGAGCCTGAGCGACAGGCGGCTCTCGGGAGGGTCACAGGTGTCAGACAGGATGGATTTTGAGTCATGAGAATGCATCACTTTTACATGAATAGCTAATGGAACAGTAGAATGTATTGTTCTACTTGGTTAAGTGTGATGAAAAGAAGATTAGTGGACCTGAATGCACGATCATGGCCAAAACCACCAAGCAAAAATCGGGTGCTCTTTTCTACCCTGTCACTAGTATCGGTTTGTGGTTGTTGCTTAGAATAGAAACGTCTTGAAAAATGACCCCAGGGCATGAACCTTCTGGACTCTGTTTTAGCAAACGTTTAAAATAATCCTGCCACTTCAGCTTCAGATGAGCTGACCTGGAGAGAAGCCAAAATACATCACAGCGTACCTGGAGGAAACGGAATCCTTCCTCCATGCCTGGCACACACCCAGAGGCCCCTGGGCACCAGGCACCCTTTCCTTCTCCAGGGGATCTTCCTGACACAGGGATCGAACCCACGTCTCCTGTACTGGCAGGCAGATTCTTTACTGCTGAGCCGCCAGGAAAGCCCATACAGTGCTCCATGTCAGCTGTATCTCAATAAAACTGGAAGAAAAAAAATCATGTTCTCTTTTCTTTCGTCACATTGTCTACACTAAGGCTTATGTTAAAATATATTTCTTTACACGTGTATACACACATATACATATTTGGACCTACTTGGAAAGTTAACTCTATATTATGATATAACAAGCCTTGTGATGATAATTTAACAGTGAATCAAAGGTTATAGATCTGCATATATTTCCTCACTTGTGAAAAGGGTTTGATCCCTGAGTTAGGAAGAGCCCCTGGAGAAGGACTTGGCAACCCACTGCAGTATTCTTGCCTGGAGAATCCCATGGACAGAGGAGCCCGGCGGGCTATGGTCCATAAGGTTGCAAGAAGTGGAACACAACTGAAGGGACTCAGCAAGCAAAGCCATAGAGACGGTTCAGTGAAGTGCCTGAAGGCGTCTGAAGCTTAGTTCTTTTGTCATTGTCATCCAGGAAGTTACACTGTGGGCCTTTAAAAGGAACTTTTTTTTTTTTTTTTTTTCCATTTATTTTTATTAGTTGGAGGCTAATTACTTTACAACATTGCAGTGGTTTTTGTCATACATTGAAATGAATTAGCCATGGATTTACATGTATTCCCCATCCCGGTCCCCCCTCCCACCTCCCTCTCCGCCCCATCCCTCTGGGTCTTCCCAGTGCACCAGGCCCGAGCACTTGTCTCATGCACCCAACCTGGGCTGGTGATCTGTTTCACCCTAGATAATATACATGTTTCGATGCTGTTCTCTTGAAACATCCCACCCTCGCCTTCTCCCACAGAGTCCACAAGTCTGTTCTATATATCTGAGTCTCTTTTTCTGTTTTGCATATAGGGTTATCGTTACCATCTTTCTAAATTCCATATATATGGGTTAGTATACTGTAGTGGTCTTTATCTTTCTGGCTTACTTCGCTCTGTATAATGGGCTCCAGTTTCATCCATCTCATTAGAACTGATTCAAATGAATTCTTTTTAATGGCTGAGTAATATTCCATGGTGTATATGTACCACAGCTTCCTCATCCATTCGTCTGCTGATGGTCATCTAGGTTGCTTCCATGTCCTGGCTATTATAAACAGTGCTGCGATGAACATTGGGGTGCACGTGTCTCTTTCAGATCTGGTTTCCTCAGTGTGTATGCCTAGAAGTGGTATTGCTGGGTCATATGGCAGTTCTATTTCCAGCTTTTTAAGGAATCTCCGCACTGTTTTCCATAGTGGCTGTACTAATTTGCATTCCCACCAACAGTGTAAGAGGGTTCCTAAAAGGAACTTTTAATTGTGGGAAATGTCTGAGGTTATTTGGAGAAGGTTGTCAGTCATATATCTAATAACCCACTCCGCAGCATTCTTTAGTAAACTCCCTGAGATTAATTACTAAGCTACACTACTGGATATCCATTTAGTTGCCTGTGTCATTTGTGAGCACAATGGAGGATGTAGGAAAAATGGAAAAATTTAGGTCAATGGAATTTTGAGTGACTGCATATAAAGCAGCCATGAACAACTTCAGCATAATCAGCAACGGCATGTGGGTATGTGCAGGTGAGGTATAGAGCATTTGAAATCATGAGAGTGCTGGGACTTACCTGGGGGTCCAGTGGTTAAGACTTCACCTTCCAATGCAGGGGGTACAGGTTTGGTCCCTGGTCGGTGGCTGAAACCCACATGCCTTGTGGCAAAAAAACAAAACTTAAAACAGAAGCGATTGTACCACATTCATTAAAGACTTTAAAATGGTCTACATCAAAAACATCTTTGGAAAAAAAAGAAGAAATACTGCTAATGCTGACATGTCATTCTTAATTTCTCCTTTGTACATGTGTTCCCAGAAGGAGAAGGCAACAGCAAAGAGGCCCATTTAAAGATTTCTGGATCACACAGAATAGGGTAAGTGTTCTCAGCATTGTCACACACCCCCCCCATCGGCCCCCAACTCTTTCCTGCATCCTAAGTGTCTTGTCAAGTCAGTCTATTTTGCAGCTTGCAGGCTTCTTTTTTATTCTCAATAACCTAACCACACAGTCGCCTGTTGTTCAAGTCTCAGCTATTTGATGAAGCAGTTCTTTTCTGAACTAGTCTCCTATGATTAATACCCTTGGACACTGTTTTACATCCATATAAATAAAGGAGCAATTACACTTAAAATAATAGTCAACATTGCATGTTCAGCTGCCGCCATCAGAGGCCTGTGACGACAAAATTCCCACAAAGTGGGTGACTAGAAACAAGAGAATCCTGTTCTCTCATGGTTCTGGAGGGTTGAAATCTAAAATCAAGGTCTCCGCAGGATCGGGTCCCTTTTGGCATGAGCCCGTGCTCTGTGCTTCTCTCTGGGTTTCCGTGGGTGTCAGCGATCCACAGCTTGTCGACACATTGCTCAAACCTCTTCCTCTGTCTTCACACGGCGTTCTTCCGCGTGCACACGTGAATGTCTGTGTCTCTTCTCCGTTTCTTTTAAGGGCAACAGTCACATTGAACTAAGGGCCCATGGTTCTTTAGTATGACCTCATCTTAACCAGTGACAACTGAAGCAACCCTATTTCCACATAAGGTCACATTAATGAAGGTCTAGGAAGTACGTACATTTGGGGGAGGTGCTATCTGACCCGGTGCAGGGCATGATAATATTTCTGTGTCATGAGGTTTTTGTGAGGGTTAAATTAAATTAAACTAATGCATAGCAAGCACATAGAAGGATGAAATACAGGATATTCGTTACTGTGATGATGTTTGGATTAATTGATTAATTAATTGGTGTCCAGATTATGAAGCTAGAGACCCTTCTGCTGGGCGGCAGGACTCGGGTTAACTGTGACATTGTTCCTGTCTTTCTACCTGTGCCTGCCCCTTCATGTTTAATTGGAAGAGAAGGAAATTTCCTTCTGGGTTTGCAGATAAGATGTATGCTTATTTTTCATGCTCACTCATTGTCTCCACTGTAGGTCAAATATTCCCTCTAACGCACATTATTCTGTTTACAAAATCTTACAATAAAACATTTCCCCGAGTGTTATCTAAAATTGCATCCATTTCTCTTCAATTAAATTATTTGCACTTGAATGCTACATGGTGAAAACATCCAGTGCTAAAAAGCTTCTGACAATCCAGTGTGTGTGCTTCAGACTTCTTAATAATCTCTCAGTTTAGCTTTCTTCTTCTATTAAGGAGTTACTCTTTGCAAAACAAGTTTTTGTCTTCCTCAATAACTCATGCTTTGCTTCTGGGCACCAAGTGCAAAGTCTGGAGAAGTCTGGCTGTGTTCTGTCACATACAGTTTTTGGGTCTCTTCTCTGTCCTTAGCTGTTGTCCACTCAAGCCAATCCAAAGGCACACTTACTGCTATGAATTCCAGGGGAGGAAAGGCACTTTGCAACTTCCTCCCCTAGATATTCAATGCTTCCAGGCTTTTGTAGCCTCTTTGATATTTTGAGTGGCGATTAGAAAGTTAGATAGTCAGCTGGTCTGTCAAAGATAAAGTAGTTAGACTTCCTTGATTCTTTGGGGGCTCTTTTAAAAAAGACAAATTGAATAGATAGCAATAGCACTTGAACTTTCCTTTTACTTTCTCCGTGCAAACACCAACACCACTCTAAATTTTCAAGCTACTTACTATTCACCAAAAGGCCTCTCTCTCCCCCCGCTCTGTTCTGCTCACTTCTGTCCCCTGCTCTCTCTCCCAGCTCTCACTTACGCCTCTGTATCTTCTGTCACAACATACATACATGTGGTCAAAGTGACTTGATTAGCTAGAGAAGATTAATGATTGTAAAACATCATCTTGAAAGTGAATGTCCTCTTGCTTTTGTAATTTTTAAGTTGTGTTCAGTTGCTTATTCCTAAGCCAGGACATGGTGTATTTTAAAAACATTTCTTTAGTAATTCATCCGTTCAACGAAAATGAATGGTTATCCACTATGGGAAAATACTATACTAGACCTTCCATATAAAAATAAGAATTATTGTTCTCTTTGAAATAGGGTAACATCAGGAAAGAGAATTTTACTTCTAAAGAGGTAATTTATATCCCGCTATATCAAATGATAATCAAGACTAGTCTCTGTTGTATATCAGAGTCGTGAGATCAAGAATGTGATTTCTCACGGAAAGTCCATGCAATGAAGAGAATGTTTTATGAAATTAATTGTAATAGAAATTTGACCTATATTATGGTTGAATTGAGGAGAAATTTGTTTTGAGTGTCTTGATCAAATGCTGAAATGCAGTGAATTATTAACATCCTCTGTGTTTATCTTTCTAGGCAGCCAACAACTATAGGAATACCTTCCCTGCCAATCCACCGTCAGATGGTGCAGGAGAGGACATTTATGTCAACCACCCAACCTTCTCTCGTGTACCCAGGGCTAGAGTCTAAGCCCATCATAGGAGAATGTAGATGATAACAATTATGTACATGGATCGTTGTACAATTTCTTCCCACTATTTAATGTCTACCTTGGATATTGATTGATCAAATTTATTTCATTTGACAAGAAAAATACTGCCTAACCATGGAGAGCATTCTTAACAGATATGTTTTAGAAAACCTGACTCTAAGTAGCTTATACATAAAAGGAAACATTGAATCATATAATGGGACAATCCAGGGAAGATCAAGCTTCAGGGAAGGGTTATTTGCCAGGGCTTAAAGATTATGTCCAGAATTAAGAATGGACAAAAGACAGTTTCTGGATCCCCTTTCACAGCATTGGATCTACTTCCCTTGATGTTAGCCTCACTCTCCTTCAGGCTTTCTGCTTGTGTTTCCAAGATGATTGCCGACAACTCTCAGCAAGTCATAATCCTTGCTTCTGCCTGGTAGAGAGCAAGCACATTTGATGACTTGGCCATCGTTAAGCAGTCATCATGGCCAGAAAGGAAATCAACCCTGAATATTCATTGGAAGGACTGATGCTGAAGCTGAAGCTCCAGTACTTTGGGCACCTGATGGGAAGAGCTGACTCATTGGAAAAGACCCTGATGCTGGGAAAGATTGAGGGCAAAAGGCAAGGGGGGCAACAGAGGTTAAGATGGTTAGATAGTATCACTGACCCAGTAGACATGAATTTGAGCAAGCTCCAGGAGACAGTTGAGGACAGAGGAGCCTAGCGTGCTGTAGTCCATGGGGTCACAAAAAGTCGGACATGACTTCGCAACTGAACAACCATAGCAACGGCATGGCCAAAAAGGGTGAATGGGCTAAGTCAGTTTAGGGCTCGCCTCTAGAGCTGTGCAGTAGCGGGGCCCAAGTCCGTTCCTGGGAAGGAGAGGGGAGGAGGCTGAGGAGGGTGTAAGGAGGAGGAAACGGGATCAAAGAGCAGGAAGGTACAGAAAAACTCCTTTTGCTTCAAAGTTTTGACCAGGTATGCAGTTTGGCCTCATGCTATGACTCACAGAGCAATTAGACCATGCCTGTCATTGTCCAAATTCTAGATGGAAGCAACAATGAAAAGTATTTGTGAAACTCAGTAACGGTCATGGTCACCTTGAAACCACAGTGATTTGGTAATGACCAAATACAGTGGTCATTCCAATCTCATGTCATTACTCATCTTTAAAAGACCCTCATTTCTAAAAGATTCATCTCAAAGATTCATTTAGGTTTCAAAGTTGGAGACTTGGCATGATAATCTGAAATGAACCCAAAGCAAATTCTCACATTGTCTAGACAGATTCTTAAGCTGTAATTTACAGTTTTAGCAAGACAGTGGATATGTTGTGGTTTTATCTTTAAATACCATGCACACCAAATAGTGCAATTATTCTGTGAATTATGGAAACTGTGAGTGCCCCTAACTGTTTGAGAAGGGAAAGAATGAAAATGACCACTCCCACTTGTACTATGTATGTGCAAGGAGTTAGCTGTCATTTTTGTTTGCTTATAGAAACTTATATCTGGATTCAAGAAGTGTTTCCATGTTTGTAACAATGTGGGCAGGCAGTTTTACAAGAAAATCATCTACTGTTTTGTTAACTAGATCAGATCTATGAAAGTGTCTGACTCTATCTGTTTGCATGGTGAATCTAACTTGGCATCCTTTAAAAGATAAATGACTTCTTCTTCCTAAAAGTTAATCAAAATATTACTTTCTGGGAGATTCTGATAACCAATCCTCAATGACTGAATGACATAGGTGAGAAGTAAAAAATTTCTACCATGGCAACATGATTTCAGGGAGGATTTTTATGTAATCCACTTAATGTGTGGTTTATGGAAACCGCAATATTTTAAATTTGTCTCTTCTTCCATGGATGTTTTAAACTTTTTAAAAAACGTCTCTCAAAACAGTTATGAGTTACTCTGTCCCTTCTTTTCTATTCTTCATCTCCAGGGTTCAGAATTTTTAGGGACTTGGAACCTTCTTAAGTCCTGCTGAAATTTCTCCAACCTCCTCTGTAGATCCTGCTACACTGTCAGCTCTTATGCCATTGAAACTGTTCATTCATTTTCTTTGGACATCTTTACTTAACAAAGCACTTTCATTGTAGTCTCTTTAATATTATACCTAACTTGCTAGAATTGTCAACTGTACCTAATATATTAGGGTTGACAATTATGCCTACTGTATATGTATACAATATATGGTATCCATAGTAGGTATATGATATATATAGTTTGTATATATATGTACACACACTAGCGCACACACATATATATATATTTCCCTAACCTATTGTACCTCTATTCCAGTTGTTACTAAGGAAACAGGTCCACAGCATGAAAGGTCAGAATTGAATTAAATTATGTGTTAAATCTTTTCTGCAAGGTGCTATTTAGGAAACAAATGCTTCCTAAGGTTCTTTTTTCCATACATAATTTTTATTGGTACTATGTTAAATAAGATCTGTGTTTTCTTTGAATGCCATTCTTTTAGTATCTGCATTAAAGTAACCAATTACAGGGAGTTACTGTGTGGTGACTAGGTAAGTTTGTTAAATGCCATCATAGAGTATACAGTTTTGTCAGGGGAAGAAGACATCTTATTAGCCTACAATGATTAGGTATTGATTATATTATCATCAGAGAGATCTTGAACATTATTTAAAAGCCTGTATGCACACTGGGAAAATAGAATAGGAATTTCATTAACTTGAAATCATGCTTATAAATGGGAGGCAGGTGGATGAGGTTGTAATTTGTAGCTAGTAAATATTCATACTTATAGAATTTTTAAGTAATTAAGCTTATTACTAAAATATACATATACATTTAAAATGTATTATCCATTTATGCAGAATGAAATAAAAATAACTTTTATTGTAAACAACCAAATTATGTTTGTTTATCTAAAACTATATTAAAGAAAAAGTCCAGCTGCATTGCAGTATTTTTCTAATTTGGTAGAGTCCACACTGAGATTAGAAGGCACTGTAATCAAAGCGCTTCTCCTTGATTTTTAATAATATGCTGTGTTTTGTACCACTTGTATGAATTTCAGCAAGATTAAAGATATTGTAGAATACAGAAGCTTATAAAGTATGGGTGGAGGTGCTAAATTGTGAATACAAAGTTAAGCTTTTTTCCACAATAATGATAAGAAAATATCTTTGAAAAATATAAAACAATATAAACACATATTACCATTGTTTTATTATCATTAGTTAAGTCATCATTAGAATGTCTAGAAAGTATTGACCTTCATATTTAGGCTTTTTGCAAAAATTAGTATACTTTTCCACTGATCTGTCACTGGATTATTCTTAATCGAGTCTCTAAGCTCTTATGCATTTTTCTTTTGCTAGTCATCCAATAGGTGGAACTGTAGCTTCTAGAATTAACTGCAATGCTTTCTAAAATTTTTTTTTACAAATCTTCAAGGTTGGTTTACGTATTTTACTGTCCCAGGTTTAAAGCACTAACTATGTTGTAAGAAAAGATCTGATTTGTGGGTATGGGTAATTAATGTCTGAAATAATCCTCATTTATTGTCTGTTTTCCCTGCTTGAATGATGTTATATAGTCACGCTCTTTAGAACATTTTTTTTTTCCAGTTTTATGTGTAATCTTAGACTCAGGTTTTGTAGGACATGGAAATGTTTACCTTGATATACTATATTCTGTTGTTTGAATGAATAAAATGTAGAGCTCCACTATCATTAGTTTCACTTATCAGAGAATATTAGGGGAAAATTCCTGATAATAATAACATGAAGGTTAAATGCAGAAAAAAAATCAAATGAGTGACACGTTGTAGCTTCTATCTCAAGCATTTAGTGTGTTTAGTAAGTGCATGTGGTTCAAAGAGTTGCAGTGTGCTGTACAAAGGTCATTCTGACAAACAAACAAACAAACAAACAAAAAACCCGTCCGTCCGATTTTACAGCCATTGAGACAAAAGATTTCACTTCTGATGATTTTATTTTCTGCTGTTAGAGGGGTTTGTTTGGCTGCCCCCGGTGTTCGTTGCATCGTGCGGGGTCTTAGTTCCCTGACCGGGGACTGAACCCAGACGCCCTGCGCTGGGGGCATGGCGTCATCGCCACTGGACCACCAGGGAAGCCCCTCTGCTTTTCTGAGTCATGTACACATTCACTACCAGATGCTTTTCCATTCTAGACATTCTTTGTTGATTTCGATATCGTCTTTTCTACAAACTCACCACACACACACACCCCTTTGTCATGTATCCATCCTTCCAAAATATTTACATTAAAGTTTTGATTATTTCAATATTTGGTGTTTATTTTTTAATGATCTTGCCAATGCTCTTCTTGGTTGAATACCATGGTGAAAATGATTGTTCATTCTCTCCAGAGTTAATATCTTTTTTTCTGTCTATCATTAACGATTGTCTCTTTTCCTAGTTTACTGTTTTGGTATTTACAATAACTTTACCTCAGACTCTTCGCCAGTGGTCTAAAGGATCTCTCCAGACCCTCTGAGACACAACGGATATTTAGACAATCTCGCCTTCCTAGACCAGAACCTTGACCTGGGCTGATAAGCAGTGCTTACAAGCCCAAGTTAGGACTGCATAACTGTCATCCCGATGTCTCTCTTCATCCAGAAAAATAGTGGAGAGAGGACCATACAAGCTGGAATTGATTCTAAAAAATTTCCCAGTATAAAAAGATATGAGGTGGCAGATTACAGATTCTTAGTCAGTGCCCGGAACATGGCACGATAAGAAGCCTGTTATGTTTGGGTTTGTGTCTGTAAAAGTTGAGGGTGTTGGTTTTAAGCATTAGAAGCAGATGCTGACTGTGTTATAGGAAAAAAAAACAACCCACAAAAACCAGTTAATTTATGTGAGTGATACAGGTGACTCATAGCAGTTCCAGGATGTTGATGGAATAAGTTTAGAAAACAGAAAATAAGTGGCAACTCCAGGGGTCCACAAGCAGGAAACCACTTTGAGCTTTGATAACTTTCTT